CTGCTACTACTACTACTACTACTACTACTACTACTACTACTACTACTTGTGCCGCTACTACTACTACTACTAACTACTACTACTACTACTACTACTACTACTACTACTACTACTACTAACTACTTGTGCTACGACCACTACAACTGCGACTGCTACTACTACTACTACTACTACTACTACTACTACGACTACGACTACTACTACTAACTACTACTACTACTACTACTACTGCTACTACTACGACTACTACGACTACGACTACGACTACGACTACCACTACTACGACTACTACGTTTACCTTTACCACTACTACTACTACTGCTAATAATAATAATACTGCTCCTACTACCACTACTACTACTACTACTACTACTACTACTACTACTACTACTACTACTACTACTACTGCTACTACTCCTAGTCCTACTTCCAGTCGTACTACCCCTACTATTCCGAGTATCACTTCTACTTCTTCTACTACTACTACTACTACTACTACTACTACTACTACTACGATTACGGCTACTACTACTACTACTACTCCTCCTCCACCTCCTGCTACTACTACTACTACTCCTACCACTACTACTACTACTACTACTACTATACTACTACTACTACTACTACTACTACTACTACTACTACTACTACCACTACCACTACTACTACTACGGCTACGGCTACGACTACTACTACTACTACTACTACTACTACTACTACTACTACTACTACTACAGCCACTACTACCTGTACTACTGGACCCTCCACGATTACCACTACAAATACAACGAATCGGACTGCTATTACCATTACTAATACTACTACACCCTCCACAAAGTACTACTACTACTACTACTACTGCTACTACCACGACTACTATTACTACTCCTACTACTAATTCTTCTTCTTCTGCTACTACTACTACTACTACTACTACTACTATTACGACTACTACTACGACTATTCCTGCTACTATTCCGAATACTACCACTGATATTAATCATTGTTACGACTACGACTACTACTACTACTACTAATACTACTACTACTACTACTGTTACTACGACTACGACTACTACTACGACGACTGCTACTACTACTACTACTACTACTACTACTACTACTACTTCTACTACGACTACTACTACACTACTACTACTACTACTACTACTACTACTACTACTACTACTACTATACTACTACTACTACTACTACTACTACTACTACTACTAGTACTACGACTACGACGACTACTACTACGACTACGACGCGACTACTACTTCTACTACTACCACTACTACTACTAGTGCTACTACTACTACTACTACTACTACCACTACAACTACTACTACTACTCCTACTACTACTACTACTACTACTACTAGTACTACTACTACTACTACTACTACTACTACTACTACTACTCTACTCTACTCCTACTCCTCCTCCTCTTCCTCCTCCTCCTACTACTACTCCTACCACTACTACTACTACTACTACTACTACTACTACTACTACTACTACTACTACTACTACTACTACTACTACTACTACTACTACTACTACTACTACTACTACTACTACTACTACTACTACTACTACTACTACTACTACTACTACTACTACTACTACTACTACTACTACTACTACTACTACTACTACTACTACTACTACTACTACTACTACTACTACTACTACTACTACTACTACTACTACTACTACTACTACTACTACTACTACTACTACTACTACTACTACTACTACTACTACTACTACTACTACTACTACTACTACTACTACTACTACTACTACTGACTACTACTACTACTACTACTACTACTACTACTACTACTACTACTACTACTACTACTACTACTACTACTACTACTACTACTTTCAATGATACTACTACTCCTGCTCCTACTCCCACTTCTACTACTACTACTACTACTACTACTACTACTACTACTGCTACTGCTACTACTACTACTACTACTACTACTACTACTACTACTACGACTACCACTACTACTTCTACCAATACCTCGATCCAGCAAAAGACGCGCGAGATCCCAACAGCAATAACTCACGCGTAAATCTGCTCCTCTAAGGTGTCCATCGCAATTTCAGATAGCACTGAACAAGTATGGTAACATTTCAATATGTTTTGTTTATCCGCTTCCTCTTCGGTTGGGGTCTGACCGTGCCTGGTGTTTTAGACGGTTGGGATCTGAACCGTCCGGTTGGGATCTCACGCGACCGGTTGGGATCTGAACCCATTGCCTTTCCCGCCCCCCAGGTATCCCCCCTTGGAACCCCTCCTGTGACCCCCTCCTGCAGGGGAGGGATCCAAAGGGAAGGGGCTTCCCTTCGGCTCAACTGCGACGCTCTTCCATGTCCTTGTTCCTGAGTTCCCTCGGGATTGACGACGACGACGACGACTCACGCGGAGAAGCGTCCCGCACACGCCGGCGTGGTCGGCGGTTTCCGACTGCAGAGAACGCTCGAAGACGTCCACATATCCGCCGCGAGGTCCTCCGAGATCTACATCGGGCACGTCCCTCGACAGGAGGAATGTTCAAAAATAGTCAAAACACATAGTCTGGGGACGACATTCCGATTATTTGACTTGGAGTATTTGTTCCGCAGAAAAAAAAAACCTGGCTACGTACCCAACCCGTTGCGCAACGTGGGGCATAAGTACATCAGGATTGCTACAATAGGGGCGATGACGTAACATGGACGCATGTGTTGTTGCGAGCAGCAATCGGAAGGCTCGCAGGCCCCCGATCAAGATCTAAGGGCTACGTAAGAACAAATCACCCCCGTTGGCTGTGCCATGCGCCCGTTGCACCCAACGTATCCCGCAGCAGCTCTTGAGAGCCCCCGCGGGATGGTAGATGGTCTCTTCACAAATCACCCCCGTTGGCTGTGCCATGCGCCCGTTGCGCCTAACGTATCCCGCAGCAGCTCTCCAGAACACCCCCAGGGACGGCGAGGTCCCGCTCAGATCCCCGAGGTGCTTCACTCCGCAGGACCCACCAGCAGCCCTCGAAAGTGGCGACGGTGTCGCAGATCGCAGCCCCCCAGGGACGGCGAGGTCCCGCTCAGATCCCCGAGGTGCCTCACTCCGCAGGACCCGCCAGCAGCCCTCGAAAGTGGCGACGGTGTCGCAGATCGCAGCCCCCCAGGGACGGCGAGGTCCCGCTTAGATCCCCGCGGTTCCTCACTCCGCAGGGCCCACCAGCAGCCCTCGAAAGTGGCGACGGTGTCGCAGATCGCAGCCCCCCAGGGACGGCGAGGTCCCGCTCAGATCCCCGCGGTGCCTCACTCCGCAGGACCCACCAGCAGCCCTCGAAAGTGGCGACGGTGTCGCAGGACGCAGCCCCCCAGGGACGGCGAGGTCCCGCTCAGATCCCCGCGGTGCCTCACTCCGCATACCCACCAGCAGCGCCCTCGAAAGTGGCGACCGTGTCGCACCTCGCAGCCCCCCAGGGACGGCGAGGTCCCGCTCAGATCCCCGCGGTGCCTCACTCCGCAGGACCCACCGGCAGCCTTCGAAAGTGGCGACGGCGTCGCAGATCGCAGCCCCCCAGGGACGGCGAGGTCTCGCTCAGATCCCCGCGGCGCCTCACTCCGCAGGATCCACCAGCAGCCCTCGAAAGTGGCGACGGTGTCGCAGATCGCAGCCCCCCAGGGACGGCGAGGTCCCGCTCAGATCCCCGCAGTGCCTCACCCCGCAGGACCCACCGGCAGCCTTCGAAATTGGCGACCGTGTCGCAAATCGCAGCCCCCCAAGGACGGCGAGGTCCCGCTCAGATCCCCGAGGTGCCTCACTCCGCAGGACCCACCAGCAGCCCTCGAAAGTGGCGACGGTGTCGCAGGACGCAGCCCCCCAGGGACGGCGAGGTCCCGCTCAGATCCCCGCGGTGCCTCACTCCGCAGGACCCACCAGCAGCCCTCGAAAGTGGCGACAATGCCCGCTCAGATCCCCGCGGTGCCTCACTCCGCTGGACCCACCAGCAGCCTTCGAAAGTGGCGACGGTGTCGCAGATCGCAGCCCCTCAGGGACGACGAGGTCCCGCTCAGATCCCGCGGTGCCTCACTCCGCAGGACCCACCAGCAGCCCTCGAAAGTGGCGACGGTGTCGCAGACGCAGCCCCCCAGGGACGGCGAGGTCCCGCTCAGATCCCCGCGGTGCCTCACTCCGCAGGACCCACCAGCAGCCCTCGAAAGTGGCGACGGTGTCGCAGATCGCAGCCCCCCAGGGACGGCGAGGTCCCGCTCAGATCCCCGCGGTGCCTCACTCCGCAGGACCCACCAGCAGCCCTCGAAAGTGGCGACGGTGTCGCAGATCGCAGCCCCCCAGGGACGGCGAGGTCCCGCTTAGATCCCCGCGGTGCCTTACTTCGCTGGACCCACCAGCAGCCCTCGAATGGCGACGGTGTCGCAGATCGCAGCCCCCCAGGGACGGCGAGGTCGCGCTCAGATCCCCGCGGTGCCTCACTCCGCAGGACCCAACAGCAGCTCTCGAAAGTGGCGACAGTTTCGCAGATCGCAGCCCCCCCAGCGACGGCGAAGAGAGGGCAGGAGGAGGCGGGAGGAGGCGGGAGGACGAGGAGAATGAGGCGGAGAAGGATTGGAGTCCGCAGGGCTCTATTCAAAACGAATACCCAACCAAGGAGGGTTGGGAACACGTCCAGAATCGGCCTGTGGGGGGACATGCCCGACCTAACCGTAGGTCGACCCCCCAGGCGGCGGTTCTGAATATCCTTAGGATAGCAAGCAATCACAAAAACATAAAAACTCGGAGGTCCGCACGTCCGGCGCCGCCCCTGGCGCGCTCCAGCGCCGATCCGAGCAATCCGCGCGGACCTCCGAGCCTTTATGTCTGGGTCAGTCTCCGGTCCCCTCAATGCGCTACCGCCTCGGACTGGCCCCGTCCCTCCCATGGCCCCCCCGCTCCTCCGCCCACGTCTCCTTTTCCTCCCTGGAGACAGGTCACTTCGGGCTCCCGCATGGGCGCGTGAGGGCAGCCTTGTCCCCGGGGCTGTCCACAGGCGGTGTGCTGCCCGGCCGCTAGCGCGCGCGCGCGGGGGGGCGGGCTGTGGGCGCTGCCGCGAGGACCCGCGCCACCGAAAGACCGCGCGCGGCCGCAGGGCTTGGCATCGCTCGGACGTTTGGATTTATTCCTGGCGAGGACCATCGAAGAGCATCCTAGATCATCGAGCAAAAACACATGCAAAACGACACATGCACCGGCAATGGACGTCCAAGCGACGGCAAGGGTGAGGGGGGAGGGCTCGAGGCGCGAGGAGCGAAAGAGTTGGCCTCCTCAGGGTCGGGGGAAGGGGATGCGACAGCAGCACCACCAGGTGGGCACCTTCAGCGAGGAGGTCCACGAGACCTCTGCGAGCTGGGGATGGGAGATGCCTCGAGCGAGAGGGGGAACCACCCGCACCACCGCAGGGACGCCCCGTGGCTTCGCCCGCTGGTGGTCCCTGGTAGTGGTGGTGTCGCTGTTCCTTGCTCTGATCAGGGGAAGCAAGAGATGCAGTGAGCGGCTTGAATAAGGAACACTTACTTTTCAAAAGGGGCTCGGTCGTTCCTTAGATTTACATGCGTTATCTATTATTTATCGTTCCTTATGCGTTATTCCTTGGGATAAAAAGGGGCTTCATTCCTTATTTATCGTTCCTTAGGTCAGGCCGATGACTGTACCGACACCGCAGCTCGTCCTGGGGAGCCCTCGTCACCGCATCAGGATTCTCCTCGAAGTTCTGGTTGGAATGCTCGGGGGCGGCAACGAGGGGGGTGATGACTAGGGGGGGGGATATCATGACGGGAGCCATGATATTTCCACAGATTTCATGGCGCCTCTTCTTGTTTCAATACGTCCCCAGCCCCACCCCTGGGCCGCGCACATGCCGCCGGCCATGATTTGCACACCCCTCTTGGGCGCCCCCTCTTCTTTGCCGCCCCCGATATGCGCCCCGGGAGATGTCTGGGAGTAGCGGCACCGGTACCTTGCTGTTCCCCCATGGGGTGGCTCGTGGCCTGAGGATCGAAAGACCTTGTTTCCAGGAGCCCCAAGTGGAGCTGTAGCAGATGGGGTCGGAGGATCGCTCCGCATCGGCGATGCGTCTGCGGTGCGGCTCGATGTCGAGCCCGATGTTCTCCTCGCTCGCGGCGCCCATGCATCGCCGACGTCGCAGGTGCATCCCCGATGCATCGGCGATGCGGCGCGATCCTCAACTCACGAGGGGAGGCTCGAAGGCTCGTCAAGGAAAGAATCATCCACCACGAGGGAAGACGAATCTGCGACAAGCAGAGGCCAAGTCACGACAGGACGATGCTGGTTCGGAGACGAGGTGGGAGGCGAACAGGAGAGCGTTCGCCTTCCACTTTCCAGTTCTCACCTTCCACTCTTTGTGTTCACCTTCTCCTCCCACTGTTCCGTTCGCCTCCCACTTTCGTATTCGCCTTCGTCTCCCATGTTCGTGTTCGCCCTCTTCTCCCACTTCCGTTTTTGCCTTCGCCTCCCACATTCATGTTCGCCCCGCCTTCCGCTTTCGTGGTCGCCTTCGCCTCCCACTTTCGCGCGCCTCCCACTTTCGTTCGCTGTCGTTCTCCTTCCACTTTCGTGCTCCTCCCACGTTCGTTCGCCTCCCACTTTCCTTTACGTGTTCGCCCACCACGTTCGTTCGCCTCGCGCGCGACCGATAGTGTGAGGCGAAAGGGAACTTAGGAGGCGGACGAAAGTGGGAGGCGAACGAAATTGGGATGCGAACGGGAAAGTGGGAGGCGAACGAAAGTGGGCACGATTGTAAAGCCATCCCGTTTCAGTAAGTTTGTGGTTTTGTTTTAAAGTATGTTATAGTTGTGTTCTCATTTATTCAGCATTTGATCCATATGATTTGTAGCATCGCAGCAGGGACTCACGCGTTGAAGAAACCAAATGTATTCGGCAAGACCATGCGCATGCGTCGCGACTTAGATACAGATTCGCTTGCCTTCCTCCCCTCGCCCCCTCCTGCCCCGTCCTTATAGAGTCCCGAGTCCTCCTTGAACGCTGGGTCCGTGTTCTTTCGAGGTTGGATTCCTCTGGCCGTCTATCCTTAGCCTGAGGCACTACGTCGGACCACTGGTGCTGCTCTGCTCTACTTTCCCTCCTCTCTGAATGTCTCGGGAGGGCCAAGAGAGCCAGCAACAACCGAAAGCCTGGATCTTTCTCCCCAACCTCGATCCTCCCTTCCCCCCCCCTTCTCCTCACTCTCAACCTGGGTCCTCAGCCTCCCCCCATCACGCACCTTATCCCCACACCCCCGACGTCGTGTTTTTTGCATGACTACCCCCCCACAGCCTAGACCCCTCCCAGGCCGCTCCACAGGGGCACTGCAAGATGTATTCTGTGACACGGCCAGCCTGGATCACTTCAAGCGTGTCATTGAGTTGCCAGGAAGCTAAAAGGTCTGGGCCCCTTTCCGTGGACCCGCTTCTCATCCCTCATCGTCTTTCTCACGGCCCCGAGGCCCAATGAGAGGGTCCCAGGAGGCCGACCATCCCGCCGAGAGGTGTGTCACGACGCGCGGGTGCTTGGGCCTGCAGCCTGCACCGTATTCCTGCCCCCCTCCTTCTCCTCCTCCTCCTCCTCCTCCTCCCCTCCTCCCCCCTCCTCCCCTCCCCCCCTCCCCCTCCTCCCCCCCTCCTCCCCTCCTCCCCCTTCGTCGTCGCCGTCCTCCATCCTCCTCCCCCCTCTGCCCCCCGTTGCCGCCGGGCAGGTCGGCGAGAAAGAGCTCTCCGTGCCCGGGGCGGAGCCCCTGTGCGCCAGCGAGGACTACGTCACGACGACCACCACCACGTCCACCACTGTCACCACTACCACATCCACGAGGAGCCTCCAGGGGACCCTGCCACCCTACGCAGGTTCGTGGCGTGTCGGCCCCAGCGCTGATTCTTGACACCGCGGGGATCGTTCATCCTTGAACGATCGGCCGTTTCCGAAACGTATCGACCGATTCTTGGTCGTTTGCGGCGAAACGCGAGGCTCTCTCTCTCTTTCTCTCTTTCTTCAAAGCGAGGACCTCACACCACAGGATGATTTAGGAAAAACGCAACCACAGCTGATTTTTTTCTGGGGTGCCTCTGGGGAAAGAACCCATCGGTCTCAACACGAACACTGCTGTTAGGGTTGTGGTCTGTTTGGCCGTCCTTGGATGCCCACATCGACCAGAATATGTAGTACAGTGGTTGCAGTGCTCTGACCTGTGCTGGCATGCGCAGCGTGTGTTCTCGATATGGTTGTGGTCCCATGGAGTTTGTTTGGGGTTCTGGCAAGATTACTTGCATGGAGGGGAAGGGAGGACAGCACAACCCACCCCCACCCCCAGCCAGGACCCCCCCCCGACCTGGAGATCCAGGGGTTCTTGGCTTGGGTTGCTTCTGTTCTTCTGTTGTTGCTCGTGGAGGGCAGAAGCCACCCTCACCCCCACCTCGGACCTCCTGGAGCACCAGGTCGGGAGGGAGGGTCCTGCCTGGGGGTGGGGGTGGGTGGTGCTGTCCTCACTCACTGAAGCGGGGGGCCTCCCCCGCTTCGGGGGCCTCCTCCGCCTCCGGGGGAAGTCGGGGGGGCCTCCTCCGCCTCGGGGGGAAGTCGGGGGAAGCGCCCTGCTGCTGCCCCTGGCGGGGAAGTCGGGGGGCCTCCTCCGCCTCGGGGGCCTCCCTGGGGGGGCCACGAGCGGCCGGGCTCCGCCCGCTGGGCCGTCCCAGCCAGGCCGCGCCCCTTGGAGCGGACTCTGCGAGGAGGGGCCCTGGCCCGGGGTGGTCAGCTCCTCGCCACTCTGCTCAGATGTTCGTTCCAGGGGGGCCGCCTGACGGATCCAGTTCGACTCCAGATCGACTGGAACTTCGACTCCAGCTCGGCTCTAGCTCGACTCCGGCGCGACGCAAGGTCGATGCAAGTTCGATTCACGTCGACGGACGTTCGACGCAGCATCGACGCATAAGTGGACCGAGTGTCTCCAGGAGGGTCCCCAGAACGAGCGTCTAACCCTCCGCTGGAGGGAAACAATTTGTGGGCACCTCCATTCTCCCCCAAGTTCAGAGTTGGCACGCGCGGGGGAGTTTGCGGTCGAAGTGCAGCTTTAAAACCCACGGCGAATTTTGATCATTGGGGGCGAGGTGGGCATTGACAGATGAATGTGGCATGAGTGTTCGCGAATTCATTCCGAGGCTCCTCGCGTAATGACAACAATCATGGCGGGAGGTTTTCGTCATTTTCGGTCTCTGGGGGCCCTTGCCGGGCCTCGGGACCGTCAACAAGGAGGGCCTTGTTCAGACTCAAGCAGGTCGACTCGCATGGCATTCCCCACCCCCCTCCCCCACCCCCTCCGCCGCCGAAAGCCTTGCAGAGGGCGTGCGAGAAAGCCCCAGCGTGCGAGGAGTCCAGATTCCGAGGCCTTGGGGCAAGAGGGCGGGGTGAGGACCCGCGGTGCAGGACTTGTCTTCGCCCGGCTCAGTCCGATGCCAACGGCGCGAGGGCACGGGGGGCTGGCAGTTCTCCCTCCACTGGCCGCGAGGGGCTCGGGGGACGGTTGCGGGCAGCGCGCCAGGTAACGGTCCACGGCATGCGTTCTTCTCATCGCAGGTCGGCTTGTGTGCCGTTCACGGTTTGTCAGGCGACCTTTCGATGCGTAGTTTGGTAGGTGCAGATGTAGTGTTGTGGTCTTCTTTGTTTCCTTACCGGGGGCAAGAAGAAGCCAAGGACGTCCAGCACCTCGACGATTTCCACCTCGACCAGCACGACCTCCACGACCTGGGGCTGGCCGTCCTTCTTCTGCTACGAGGTCCGTTGTTGGGGAAGCTATCCGTACCCACGGCCTCGCGGTCGCGGCTCCTCGCCCCCCGTCGGGATGGTGTTGCGCGAGTGCCCCGCGCGGAGCGTGTCCGTACTACCACACCGCGCATCCATGGGACCGCGCCTCCAAGGCCAGACCGCGAGGGCACGAACCAGGATAGGTTCGCCGCTCGC